CCCCAAAACCCCAAAACCCCAAAACCCCTAAATTTCATATAAAATTTGAAGAAAAAAATGGACATAATGTACTCAGGTAGTAACTACCTGTGCTACAAAAGAAAATTTGTATGAGGAACTTCTATGTGGGCCCCAGGATTGGGGTATTTCTTCTATGTATTACTTTTACCAATTCTTATATGTACAGCAGTCTGTTCCCAGATGAATCTCGTCGGAGGCCTCACTTGAGCCTTTCTTGGGATACTAATTACTGGAATCGTATCAATTCCATACTTTTCAGTTGCAGCTATAGATCCAGGGATCATCCCATCAAAAAGATTTTCGGGAAATGCGAAGTTATGAGGGTTTAAAAATTATGCATATCGAATGAACTTTTATCACAAGCTACAATTAACACACTCTTATCTTCAATATTGTCACAATTGCTTGATTTTCCAGCCTGAAGAAGCATATCACTGTAAAGAATGTGACTTGTGAATAAATAAGAAATATTTCCATCACCCATTTTTCCTAAAATGCATTGGACAGAGGACTATTCATTACTACATTCTGTTTCTAGCTTTAAACTTATTCAAGAATTTTTACTTCTTTATTGTCTGATGAGCGGCTCTTGCATTCTCATTGATCTCCCCTTTAATATTTTTCTTCATCTGAATCGGAGCAATGGCGGGGGACATGGCATTTATGCACCACTGAGGGAAATGGATCTATGAAACTCAGATTGATCCACAACAAGAACGGGAGAAAATAATACAAGATTTTAAAACATTTCTGTTCGATTTTGAAATCCCTCCAAGCAAATATAAACTTATTAAAGTGATGAAAAGTACATATAAAGGCTTAGGAAACAAGAAAAATCTAAAAAGTGTGTCTTTCAAGAAGGTAGTTCCTCAGAATGGCCAAAGTTCGATAGACCATTCTCATAATTTGATGATGAAACTTCGTATTAGCACAGATACCTCTGTAGATCCCCTCCAGGACTCAAATAAGGACCAGAAGAGCAAGCTCAACACTTCTATCAAGATTAAGTAAGTAACCTGGAATTACACTTTAGGAGTAAATTATTGGATTCTCCTGATGAACTGAGAATAAAATAGAAATAAGAATACCTCTAAGAGAAAAGAAGACGAAATGCGCATTGAAGATATACAAGACGAATCGTAATCCCAGAGCCTTTAAACTATAGAGATGACAGAGACCTGTTCGAGATTCTTAATGAACCACAAGAGAGATCAAGGAACAAGTTAAGAGGGATTGTGAACAAGACCAAACAATTGCAACAAAGTTTTGGTGAGGAGCCGAAACAAGTTTCATGGGAAGATAACTTTTTATAACCCCTAAATACAGCTAGTGCCATATTTGTAATAAAGAATTTCTATTCTACAGTAATTCTTTGGGGTTTTGGGGTTTTGGGGTTTTGGGGTTTTGGGG